GTGTGCAGACAGTTCACGGTATCCGTTGCCCTGCAATCCCCTGATGCGGCTGGAACTGTATGGTCATTGTGCGCAGTCTACGGCCCGGTCGACGACAGCCTAAAGCCGGATTTCCTGTCCGAGCTCCGGGAGGTCCATAATTATTGTCCTGGAGAGCTGTTGTTTTGTGGCGACTTCAACATGATATATCAGGCGCAGGATAAGAGCAACAACCGCCTAAACCTCTCGGCCATGCGTCGTTTTCGTAGGACTTTGGATGCCATATATGGCCGTGGATGAGCTCTATCTCCATGACAGGCTGTACACCTAGAGTAATGAGCGACTCCGGCCAACCTTGGAGCGATCGATCGCGCTTTCGCCACCGTGCAGTGGCTCGAGGCGTTCCCAGATCATCGGCTACGTACGTTGTCCTCTGATAGCTCAGACCACGCACCTCTCCTGCTTGAGCTACGCACGGAGACACGGGCCTCGCCGAGATTCCGGTTCGAGCCGTTCTGGGCACGCCTTGACGGCTTCCAGGAGGTAGTCCAGCAAGCGTGGGATCACAACCCGCTGAATATCGACGCCTGCCGCAAGCTTGACATCAAGCTAAGACTCACGGCAAAGGCACTCAAAAGTTGGAGTATGCGCAATGTCGGCAGTGTGCGCCAGTAATTGTTCATGGCGTGAGAGATGATCGCGCAATTAGATAAGGCCCAGGAGTCCATGTTACTCACTGAGGAGGAACGGACGATTCGGGCCAAGCTCAAAGGTCGCTGCCTGGGCCTTGCCTCTCTCACCCGCACGATCGCACGTCACCGATCCCGGATCAGGTTCCTTGGTGAAGGCGACGCCAACACCAAATTCTTTCACCTTCAAGCCTGCCACCGAAGTCGGAAAAATTTCATTGCCTCTGTGCAACATGAAGGCAGTTGGTTTTCGGCGGAAGAAGCTAAGCAGGATCTGATTTACGGCTATTACAATAGCATCTTGGGCGCTCCATTCCAGCGGCAGCATGCCTGCACCTTGACAAACTGCTGCCACAGCTCGACCTCACGGGCATCGACGCTTGCTTTTTAGAGCAGGAGATTTGGGCCACCATCAGAGACCTCCCGTCAGACCGCGCGCCGGGACAGGACGGCTTCTCCCGTTTGTTCTACAAGGTGGCTTGGCCGATCATCAAACACGATGTCATCAGTGCGTTCAACGTACTTTGGTCGCTCGATGCTAGGAGTTTCTACCTCCTGAACGACGCGCTCATGGTTCTGTTACGGAAGAACACCGCCCCCACTCGTCTCAAGAACTATAGGCCGATCAGCCTCATGCACAGCTTCAGCAAGCTATTCGCCAAGTGCTTGGCTAGGCGATTGGTGCCGAGGCTAAAGGAAATCGTTGCACCCAACCAAAGTGCCTTCATCCGAGAACGCTTGATCCATGACAACTTCAGGGCTGTATAATTAGCGTGTCGTTGGCTGCACTGCAGGAAGTTTCTAGCCGTCCTTCTTAAGATTGATATCGCTAAGGCGTTCGACTCGGTCGCATGGCCGTTCTTACTTGAGGTGCTGCAGCATATCGGATTCCCGCGGAGATGGACTAACTGGATTTCTATCCTACTGTCCACTGCAAGTACCAAGGTCCTTGTTAATGGTAAAGCAGGCAGAAGAATCATTCATGCGAGGGGATTAAGACAAGGCGAGTTGGGCTTTCCGTTGGCCCTCTGTGCCGCTACGCCCCAAACCTGTACGCGGCCATCTCCAGAGCGGGCAAGAAGAGATCGATCAAAGATGGCATTTCCCAAAATCGGTGGGCGCGGGACACCGTCGGCGCGCCGACCCCGACCACACAGGTGATTTGTCAGTACCTTTGAGTGTGGACCATCCTCCGCGATGTCGTCCTCGATCCGCTGCAGGAAGATCGTTTTGTTTGGAGATGGACCGCTGACGGCAAGTACTCAGCCTCGTCCGCGTACCGGGCGTTCTTCGCTGGATCGTCGTCTCTTCTGGGAGCGAAGGAACTGTGGAAGACCAAGGACCTCCGCAGGTGAAGTTCTTCTGGTTCGCGTTGCATCATTGGCTTTGGACCGCGGAACGACGCAAGAGACACGGCCTACAGGATGATGACGCTTGCGTCCTCTGCGGTCAGGAGCCTGAAACCGGTGATCACTTGTTCATCGGCTGCATCCTTGCCAGACAACTTTGGTATTCTCTTCTAGCACCTGTTGGCTTGTCGGTGCTGGCACCGGTTAGCACTGAGGATCTAGCGTCCTGATGGCTTCGCCAGCGGCAACGTTTAGATGTTGCTGTCCGGTCGGCCTTCGACTCTCTCGTGTTGCTCATCTCATGGATCATCTGGAAGGAGAGGAACAGCAGGACGTTTTTGCGGACGGCATCCTGTGATCAGGAACTGTACCTGAATGTGGTCCGAGAGGCTGATGATTGGGTGCAGGCATGGTTCAAGACGTGGTCTGTCCGTTTTGGTCGCAAAACTCAGTAGTCATGTAATCACATTGTGTGTATCCAGTAGCTAGGGAAATGGTTTCTTGGTCAGCCTTGATGGCTAGCCTATCTCAAGTGGTTGTTTGAAACTTTCTATCTTAATGAAATACAGGTGAATGGCCCGATCGCAAAAAAATACTCTCTTTGTTTCAAATTGTTAGTCATTTGAGCTTTATTATCGTACATTTTTTTATTTTGATTTAGTTTATAAAAATATATATCATCCTCAACAACATCAAATAAGTTTCGTTAGGTATACCATAAAATATAGAGAAAATTTGCCCGTTGCCATTGAAATCTATACTCTTTTTGTATGTGTCATTGATAATTATAGTTTTTCTTCATTGCCATTGGTTTATAATTTTATTCTCTATCTGTCATTACGTTACTTGTACACCACACGCCGTTAAAGTCTATGGTCGTCTTGTCTCCCTCGTGGTCGGTGCTTGTTCCTTGCTGCGCCGCAACCACCTGCCGCCTAGCCCCCACCACCCTGCGCCCGATGCCACTGGAGCGCTTGTCGTCCATGGTGCCGCAACTGCTGGGCCACGCTCGTCATCCGCGCACGAGCATCATCACTGGACGCCTCGCCTACTCCGTGCTTGTCACCCGTGTGCAGGGGCGGATCCAAAGGGGGGGTTGTTGGGGCTACAGCCCACTAGTGAGCCTGATTTTTTTTATTAGATCACGGTTATTTAGCCTTAAATCACCATTAATCTTTAGCTGTAGCCCTAAATCTTCATTATTTAGCCCCTGTCCCATCCTGCATCCTACATCCGCGCGCGACCACCGGGCCGCCGACGCATGCCATCGCCGGCATCTCCTGTGCTCTCGTCATTGAGTACTCGCTGCCCTCGCATGCTGCGAACGTCGGCCCGCCCTCGCCCCGTCCATGCACGCGCGCCATCGTCGGTCGCTTTGCATCTCCTGTAGCCTGCGCTCTCCGCCACCAAGCAGTACTCCACGCCCCGCTGCCCATGTTTGTCGCGGCTGCCGGCTCACGCTCGTCGTCCGCGCACACCCCACCGCCGTCTGCCTCGCCTCCCTCGCGCGTGCCACATCCGCCGCCCTGCGCTCGCCACCACCACGCTCTCGTCGTCAACACGCGCACGACATGGCCGACTATGCGCTCTTCGCACCTGCTTGGCAGGGATGAGGGAGGCAGAGGCGCGGGCGACGCTGACACTCCAGTAGCTGCGGCCGCACCTCCTGAGCTGCATTGCCTTCGTCTTCCTCTTCCAACTCGCCGCGAATGCCATCACGACGACGGGTCTTTCTCAACCATCAGGATAATCTCGTTGGACTTTCCTAAAAAAAAATTCCTCAAAACAATCTCGTTGGAGTCCATGAGGATGCAAATGCACACGGAGTCTTCTTCAACCATATCAGGGAGATGCACGGCGCCTGAGGTGGGGGATGTACGTTGACGGGCAGTGTATAGCCGCGACGATCGATGTGAGAAGGCTGGGAATGCGCCGAACGTTGTGCCGTCGCGGACGTGGTCACGGTCATCCTGATGGAACAACGCCCACACCGTGCTACGCTCCCGAACGTCACACGGACGCCACTACAGCTCGTCCGCCCTGGTAACAGCCGTTGTGGCCAGAGCATCCCTGTCGTGACCACACAAAGATGACGCTCGTGCGTGGATGACGAGGGTGGCCTGGCAGTCGCGGCACTCGTGGACGGGGAGGGCTTGGTGGCAGCCGGTGCAGCGAGGTGAGACTAGGCGGCCCGCGGCCGGTGGTCGTGGCACGACACGCACTGGCAGCCATAGATTTTAACAGCGTGTGTGTATAAGTAACGGCAATGGCACAAACAGAACAAAAATTATAAGCCAATGGCAACGAGGAAAAACTATAACTTTCAATGGCACATATGAAAAGAGTATAGATTTCAATGGCATTGAACAAATTTTCTCTAAAATATATTCTAACACTGATTTATTAGATATTATATATTTTTAATATAAAATCGATCAAAGTTAGACACTTAGTGGGGGTTTTATCCCACTGTTTTAAAGACTCCTATGTGTTAGAAATAGTATAGATAAGTTTCATCCTCGTAAAACCCGTTTCATACCATTAAACTTTTATCAAATCTCTCTTTATCAATACCATGCCGTATCAACTTATCTAATGTCTATGAAACTCTCGTAAAATCTTATTGAGACGGACCAAATAATGCCAGCCTGGCTATTAAATTACGCCAGTCCAAAGCTAGACTCGTGAGTCATGATATATTTTTTCACTTATAAACTGTTCTGTAATAATAATAATATACAATGCGTACATCAGAAATGAAAACGGGAAAGGCGCCCGGCTGGAACTAAACCCGTTTGATGCGTCTCCGCCGTTCCAGACTTCCAGCCCAGGACACAATCAAGGGCCAAAAGCCACCGCAGGCCCCAAGTCAGCCCATACCCAAAGTCCCCAGATCCAGTCCACTCACCACCCACCACAAGCCACACCAAACCCGCCTCACCCATTCATCGACAGGACGACCTCGCCGGCGAGAGAGCGACAGATGGAGGCGGCGGCAGTGGCGGCCGGCGTGGAGCTCGGCTCCTCGAAGCCCCAGATCGCGACGCAGGCGGAGATGGCGGAGGCCCGGGTGCCGCTCGCCTACCGCGACCAGTGCGCGCACCTCCTCATCCCGCTCAACAAGTGCCGCGTCGCCGAGTTCTACCTCCCCTGGAAGTGCGAGCCCGAGCGCCACGCCTACGAGAAGTGCGAGTACGAGCTCGTCATGGAGCGGATGCTCAAGATGCAGAAGATCCGCGAGGCGCAGGAGACCAAGGTCAAGGGCGGCGCCTCCATTGGCCTCATCCCGGCCACCGCAAAGCTCGCCTGATGCGGCCCGGGCCCGATCCGCTTGATTTAGGTGAGCCCCGACTCCGCCGCGCCGTTTCGAATTTCTTTTCTTCGGGATTTAGCTCGGCTGCTGTGACTGAGTTCGTGATTTGGATGTGAAGGCCACATATTGTGTCGGGTCCTTAGGGATTCTGATTGCGTGAGTGGCGAATCGTGCGCCCTTTTGTCAGGGGAAGCAACATTGGGCGGGTGATCCGTCAGATATGGCTTGGACATTAGGTTAATTTGTAGACATTCCAGACTAAGCTCCTGACTGAATGGTTAGGGTTTTCAGGAGCTGCTGTAGCCGAGTAGCACTTGCAGAGCTAATTTAGGTAGGGTGAACACAGAAATGTGACTCTTGATTCCTGGGAGCATGACGCTAGCTTGCTGCGAATATTAAGAATTTGCGATGAAAATCAAGCCACTGATATACATGAACATCTCATACCAGTCCAGATTTTTTTTTGCTGCCCAGTGCTAGCTGCAGTTCCAACCATTACGCTGTTGTATAGTCCGTAGGTTTATATATTTTGAGTTGTGATGTTCATGTATCATGAGTACACAACAGTGCTAAAATGTTCAGAGATCAGTCTAGCTGGTAGGAATCTTAATGGAACTTCATGATATCTGCTGCCCTGTGACATGAATTTTTAGGGTTCCCAAACCACCTCAAATTGGTTACAGAGTCTAGATTACTGTTTGGTGATATTAGAACTAGAACTCTATTCTGGCTTGTAGCTTCTCAAGTCACTGGAAGAAACAGTGGTTTAGCAAGGCCTAGATTTTTGTTTATTGAACCAATTTTGATATCGGAAGCTTTGTGCAATTAAAGCGGACAATGTACAGAGTTAGCAATTTAGTTTAGCTATGCAGGCATGTCATTCCAAGCACATCATTGCAGTGAAGCATCAAATTTAATCAAAACCTGTACGGTAAACATATCATAGCTTTACCTATGCCAATAAGCAGAATATTTATCAACTATATCTACAGGTTGCTGCAGGCAATGTTGAATTCGAAGGAACTTGCCCAAGTTTCATTTTATAACATATTGAGGTGTCATATCGATTAAATGAAATGGAGTTGCCATTTCATACCACAAATTTTTTTATGGTACCACCACTTAGCACTTTTGCAGTAATTTCCAGAATGTTAGGTCTTTTGGTCGGTGGGGGTAATATACATGTTTTCAGGGGGATGCCACATGAAGAAACAAAAGAACTCCTTTTAGCTTCATTGTTAGAGATTTTCCAGACCCTTTGAGTTGAACTCTTCGACACGCTGCTTGTGCATTATAGCATTTGATCTTAAATACTCTGCGACAAACCCCTGTTCTTTCAGTTTAATCTGGTTCTTATGAGTTCATTTTATAGCAGGAAAATGCAATACCAAACTGATCCTTGAATACAATATACTGCCATGGGCGGACCCAGCCTTAGGCCACGTAGGCCTAGGCCTACCCTAAAATTTAGACCTTATTAGTACTAGGTAGATTTGAAGGTCCAAACTAAAAAGCCACGTAGGCCTAGGCCTACCCTAAAATTTAGACCAAATTATTAGTACTAGGTAGATTTTTGAAGGTCCAAACTAAAAAGGTTCAACTTCCGTCTGCAGACCATCCCTCCGCTCGCCTGATCCTTGCTTGGGGTCAGCTTCTGCTGGGTTCAAATTATATATACCATATTAAATATGAGATATTTTTGCTAGGCATACCCTGGGTCCGCTACCGCATCCACTGTTCCTATGTAAGCAACGTAAATTTATTAGCCTAGGGGGCTAGCCTGCTACAGGCGGGTCTGTTCATCTGTTGCCCATTGGGCTTGCCTTGACTATCTTGCAATTGTTCCTTTAGTTGTAGGATGAGGAACCCCTTAATGAAGTGAAAACGGTAACCTTGTAGTGAAATTGAGATTTTACTTTTAAGCTTTTGGGCATTGTATCCGATCACAGATATTTCCACTGAACAGGATAACTACTGGTTGAACTTTACAATGGGGTTTGCAGTTACAAGCATAATATGGCCTGTTAAGTGGATAAGTGCCGGTAAATTTTTATTTCCATCTGCCACACCTAATTATTAGTTCTATTTCTTTACTATATTAGCTTTCCTTGTGTTGCTTATGGCTGGATACAAACTCAGCGTGATGTAACTGATCTGGTTAACATTAGCAATCGTTGTGGAAACCAGGGGACAGGGAATAGGAACTGTGCTTGTGTGAACAATAGCTGCTGTCAGCATGCAGTTTTACTCTGCGCATCCAATGCATGATGTTTGAAACACGTCGGATGTGATATTTAAGGAATCTTTTGGATCTGATCTGGATCATATGGTCACAACCTTCCCACTGTAAACCATGTCTTGTTAGCTTTTCTGCAGTCTTGTCTGATAATTCCATTTGCAGCCTGTGACAACCGACAACATGAAACAAACAACATAATAATAATGACAGTAGTACACCTATACCTAGTCTCTTTTGGCTGGACAATGTCCATTTGTATTTGTTTTGTTAATACTACCTTGGAGGGACTCCCACCACTTGCCTTTTACGAAATTCATCTTCAGAGTTATGTTATGACCCCCCCCTTCCCTTTTGGTGAAACTTCGCAGGTACCTTTTTTTTCGGTAGCTGCCACTGTTGATGAAGCCGTTGCACGCCTTTAGGCTGTTCACACACCCTAGTCTGGGTTAGGAATAATGGTGTTGATGTGCATCTTAGCTGAAGGTCAAATTCTTGGTTTTGAGCTGCAATTTGAGTTGGCATAGATGCTTTCTTTGTTACTATTTTGGAAACTGAAACCATAGTCATCGTGGCTTTGATGATATGGACCCTTTGGTTTGCTTGTCTCCCATGTGAATGCATCACTACCTTTGACGCCTAGCCCATAGGGCCGTGTCAGATGATTCTGGGAATAAAAATCTTCTCATCATCCTATTAGGAGGTCGGGTTGGTTATTCTATGCCATTATTTGTTTTGACCTGAAGCAGCGTTGGAACATAACACTGTTATACCATGTTACCTGTGGCTGTGGGACAATTTTGCTATGTCTTTGTTTCCTTGATGGCAGTAGTGCCCGTCCGGAAACTCATGTTGATTTCACTTTTTCAGTAGCACATGCTCATTGTTCAGTCCTATTAACCAGCTGGATTTGTTTTGGACGTGCAGGTCTGCTGGTTATCGCAGCGTGCAGAGGCATTGTGCTGTGCAAAGGATCCTGAATGTTTGTTGTGTGAACAAACATGTGTTTGAATTTGGCATAAAGTTAACTGTTGTCTTCTTCCCTTTCCCTTCTCTCCCTGATGGGCATCTTCAAGTTTCAATTTGATGATGGAATAAGGAAACATTCTTGTCCTATAACCGAAGACTGAATAGCGCCTTGAAGTTTTGAATACAATCCGTGGTGTAGACTGACTCAAATCTGTCTGCTTGGGTTGCTGCCTAAAACCAACTACTGTGGCATGGTAATTGCAGCAACTTGTGCCTGGCATGCCGTCGTTGTGTGGTACTGTTGTGTTAGGGCACTCCCAGGGCTAGTTTATATATCTATTAATTTCTATAGACATTGCATATAGAAACCATAGTTTTAATAGATAGTTTTTCAATAAATAGTTTCTACAGTAGTTTTTTTATCTAATCATATATATTCTCTCTCTATTCTCTATAAATCACATCCCTTTTATGTCTTGGTTCTTGTATAGATATGATTTATAATTTAGATCTGGTTTCTATGATTTTTCTCTCTCTTCAATAGTTATATTACCATATCAGCAAAACGTTTAGACGATAATATAATTAATATCTATTAAATGATAATACAATTAATGTCTATAAAAACTATGGTGGTTTTGAGAGTGCCCCTTTAGTGCATCGATAAGCATGCGTCTGAACCTGAGTTCCCTTGTTAGTTGTGGTCGCGTTTTACCAACTGATTGTTTGGGAGTGTTTATATTTTAATTGTATTCCTTAATCTGACTGCGTTTGCACGACCAGTGTCCCGGGTTAACTGCTCTTAATCTTTTTGACACGGTCCAGGTTAACTGCTCTGCGGCTTGTTCGCGCGTTCGCTGTGGTGTGGTGTGTAGCATGTTTGACCTTATGGCTCTGCAAGCCTGCAATGCAAGGGGACCGCGCTTGAGAGCATCTCTGACTTTGTGGCTCTGTAGTAGGGTTCCCCAGCGCCGGCCGGGAGGAACCGATTCATGCTCCTCAAACGGTACATTCAGTTCAGCGCAACCCACAGTTACGTACTAGCCGTGTCGAATCTGGGTGACGAAATTGACATCGGATCCCTTGGTAGTTTTGTCGTCCGTCCTGTACTCCTGTTCATTCATCCCAGCTGGTGTGCTGTGCACATCGGTCGCATCCCTGTTCTATCCTGGCAGCGCGCTGGCTGGCCGAACAGCGACAAGAGCCCGAACGGGACGACGGCGGCGGTGGGTGAGCCGGCCGCGCAGCAGCGCAATGACGACGGCGCGCTGCCCGTGCCGATGTGGCAGCGCCGCGCATGAGCAACCGCGCGTGGCTGGCATGCATGCACGCGGCTGCGTTTCCTTATCACAGGTGGCCAGTTACGCTAGGATGCAGACTTGCAGAGGCACCCAGGGCCAGGCCAGGCAGGCAGAGCAATGCACGTGCAACGTTCGTGGCCTAGACGTGTAGTAGCGGCACCGTGGGCTTTGCTGCATGCACTGGCCGAGTTAGGGGAGATGGGAATGGGTGCTGCGGCGGCCGTGCGGGGGGGCAGGGGAATGATGATGGGCACGGAGAAAACATGCATGGGTCCTCCTCCTCCCTACCTGCTGAGCAGTGAGCTCCTATGCTACTATTACATTCCGTCCAGTGCAGGCAGGGGCTCCATCAGGCAGGCAGCTGTCGTACTCGCCTAAACGGCTAAACCCTAGACAGGGAGGGACGGAAGGAGGTAGTGTTGGGCAGGTCCACCGTGGGGAGACAGAATCATGGTCGTGGGGCGCGGACCACGGCATGCCAGCCCAGATTT